CACATTGGGTGTTTTAAGAAGGCCTTCGTTATTGTATCTAATCTTTTCTATTTAGGCCAGCAGTTCCAATTCCCCCTCCAGATATTTCATTTTTTAATTCTAATGACATTTTATCAATTTTAACTTTTTAAATTCTACAGTACTGTTTTCATTAACATAGTCACAGGTTGGTTGGAAGATATCATCAAAATGCAGATTCCGAAAGTTAGATAAATAACAGGGAGACTGGTTAGATCCCTCAAACACATTCTAGGGGCCCCACCTCCCTTCTCCAAATAGCAAAGGAAATCTCTGTGCACTTCTGTTGCCAGCCCTGCTGCGTCTTAGCTTTGAAGTTACCGAGCTGTTGTCAGTCTTAAAGGGTCTGCAGTGATCCCTGCTAAGTCGGGATTCTTCGTGCACAACACACAGCCTGCCCCCCCTCCCGGTATCGTGATAAACAGACAAGACAGCTGCGGCACCTGTCAAATGGTCCAAAGAGGGGAGAAATAAATAAAATGACAGCAGGTACAGAGGGCACTATTTACCAGCGCTTTAGTGCCATCACCTGGTTTCCCAAGGAACTGAAGCCACATCACAAGGCAGGGATTACAGGCAAAGTCATTTTACAGGGGGGCACTCCCCCCCCCAACCCCCCCTTCCTGCATAATTTTTTTGTGAGCTATCTTTGGATTGAAAGGTCTACCGCTCTCCCATCAGCATCTCGCTTTTGTACGTGTGTGCAAGTCAGCTGACGATCAAGACACCAAACCATCTTATTTGTCAGGTAAGTTGTTCTTTTAATAAACTGTAGCACAGAAACGCGGCAACTTATGACCCCCTAACAAGGACAGTAACCCATTCCCAATGATTCCAACCTCCTCCCCCAAATATTGTCGGGATCCCACGTGTGTGCTAGGCAATTCAACCCCCATGCAGTACTTCTGCCTTTCTCCATTTCCACCCAAGTCTTTCTACTGCAACCACCAGCTTTTTACAAGGCATCACTTTATCATTAGATGGCTTTGGCCATGTGTGGCTGTCGGCTTCTTGAACTTCCATGGAGGCTGATGGGGGGGGGGGCATTCTGGGCTACCTGCAGGACCTTGTCCAACCTGAGAGAAGCCAAAGTGCTGAAAGAATGCAAGAAGTCCCAGAAACCACGAGCATTTGATTCGCTGCTCCCTCCCCACCTCTGGTTAACTTCAAACCGAAGGCCAAGCACATCTGGAAACCTTAGCAAAGCAGGCCTCTCTCTCTTATGTGGGGAGGGGGGCAGATTTGTGATTATTTAGTACTGAAGAGGATGGATTCCGGTCATCAGTCTCCTTGGCATGATCTACCTGGGGTACCCTGTCTCAAATTAATTCCTTAATGCTCATCAGCAATGTTAAACGTTTCATAGTTTTCTGGGAAGAACTTCAGAACTGAGATCCAGTGAGGTTCTAGGAAGAAAATGTCTGCGGCAGTCTGGGGGGCCTCGACTCAAGCCTCCCTCCCCAACTTTTGTTTGCCATTGTGCTAGAAGAAGAAAAATGTCACAGCCAATCAGCTGGCAGAGTGTGGACACCAGGAGAGCATGATGTGACCAGGGATTCATTGGTGAAACCAGCAGATTAAGGCCTGGGGAACATTTGGGAAATGTTTTTGTTCAAACGTGTCTGAGACACCTTTCAGCATTCTCTTGATTTTGTGGTTTCCTGCTTTCCATCTAGAATACAGCACCCCTCCCCCGGTTAAAAGATCACCCCAGCAAGTTTATAAGGTTTCTTGCTGGAAAACAGTTTTGGTACTTTGGTACCTGGAGTTCAAAAGGCAGATGGGAGACAAGAATGCCAAGTTAAACAGAAAGGCAGGTTGGGAGGGAAAAACCTGCTCTCTCAGACAGACGACCTTCCAAGCTCGTCGTGTCAGAGTGTTTGTTGTTTTATTGGTTCTGCCCCAGAGGCAGTCCTCAGTGTCACATGTCCAAAAAAAGGGGGGCTTAAAAGCCCCAACACTTTCTTTTCTTTTTCTCTAGGCTAAAAATGCCCGCTGTTGAATCCAACCAACTTGTCTGCTGGTGAAAAATGAAGCAAGGGTCTCCTTTGAGATGCCAAAAAAGTTATGGGGGGGGAATCATGGGACCTCCATGGGAAAGGGAGGGTGTAGTATGGAAAAGAATTGGACGAGATGGGAGTCAAAAAGCTGTCTGGATCCAACCCCAGGTCTCATAGCATTCTAGGTCATTTCTGTTTGTCATGACCCTCATCAGATTACCCTGCAGCTTGCAATTTAGAGACGGACGGCTGTGAAACTGAATACAGAAATGCAGCAGAGTGGAGGCGAGTGGAACGGTTCCTCCCGCACCTTGGAAACAAGGCTCCTGTTGTAGCAAACCATAATGGTCATGCTCTTCGGAGCCACCATCTCCCGGAAGCAGGAGGTATCTGCAAGCCGCAAGGTTGGGAAGGAGAAACAGCTGTCTCACTGTATTTCCCGACCCCGGAAGCATCCCAGAGGGCTGCACACAGAATCTTGGCCCCAATCTCCTTTCCCAATCTAGCCCTCTCTGCCTAGTTGTTCCCATTTTCACCCAGTGATTCTGGAAGAAGCAGGGGAAGAGGAAGGCGTGGCGTAAGAGCGGCTTTTTCATGTCAACCAGGATCACAGAAGTCAGCAACAACCAGAGCGAATGGAAACATGATGACGTGCTTCCCCCCCACTCTCTGCTACAGCACCCGATAGGTTCTATTTCAGCTCTGGAACCAAATTCAATGGGTAAGACTGCGGGGTGGTGGTGGTAGAGATAAGGAAGGAAAACGATTCAGTGGCAAAGCACTGCTTGATGCACGGGAAACTCCTGTTATCAAGAGATGGATTCATGATCTGATACCAGCAAGGGCCGAAACGTAAGCGTTCAGATGGTCAGCAGGAGATAGATCCTTACGAGGATGCTTATGATGGGTCTCATGAGAATGTGCCTTCAGGTTGCAACTCGCAACTGACTCCTGGCAACCCCAACCGTGGGATGTTAAAGGCAAGAGATGAGCAGCGGTGGTTTGTCGTTGACTTCTTCCATGTAGCAACCTCCGTCTTTCTTGGTGGCCTCCCATCCAAGTGTTGGCCATGGCTGACCCTGCTTAGCTACCAAGCCATGATGAGCTTGGGCCAAACCGGGCTGAAACCACAAACCGCTTCTGGAAGAGCAAAATTATAGTCAAACACTCAGCTCCGACTCATGAGCTGCTTTGTTTTGTACCTCTGCGAGGGTTCCAAGTTTCTGTCTCTAGAAGAAAACATCCTGCTAGCAAAGGCCCCAGAAAAGGAGGGCACACAGAATGAAGTTTGGGCACCAAGCAGAATTGGCTGCAGTTCTGGCACGGAGGAAAGGAAATGAAAGCCGCCTCTTTCCTTCTAGGATGGAATTTCAGCAAAACTGGGACAAGGTGGTTCAAAGGGCCAAAAGGTGACTTTGACCCAGACAGCCCAGGCAAGCCCGATCTCGTCAGAAGCTAAACAGGGCCAATCGTGGCAAGTATTTGGATGGGAGACCTCCAGAGAATAGTAGGGTTGGGAGACAGAGGCAGGCTATCAAGCCACTGCTCTGAACATCCTCCATGCCCAGCTGTCATGATTTCCAGGCACGGAAACACACGCATACACACACACATGCAAAAATATGAGGAATTTCAGACAGACGATATATTCCGGAAGAGGAACGATTCCCAAACGGTTTCTGGTCTGTCATTTCAGACAGAACCGTTTTAGAACCGGTTCCCTACCGGAATATATTTGTAATTTCAGACACAAACGCTTCTGTCCCGTTTAGGAAACGGGGCTGAAGCGTTTTACCTGTCAACCGCTTCCGAGTAGTCTTCAGTTTCCTCTCCCGGTTCCGATGCGCTTTTCCCCGCCGGTTTTCGCCCGCGTGGGTGATCTCCGGCTTTTTTTTTTAAAAAAAGTTTGCTTTATAGCGCTATAACGGAACAGCAGTATATCAACCCCATTGGAATGCCTGGAGAATTTTGTTATAGTGCTATAGCACTATAAAGCGAACGTTTTTTTAAAAAAAACCGGAGATCACCCGCACGGGCGAAAAACGGCGGGGGGAAGCGAGGCAGGCTGAAAACGCAAACCGCTTCAGATCCAGCTCTTTACCAGAAGGGGAAAGCCATGTGTGAAATGGCAGCCCTATACCGGTTTACTCCACGACGAATCAAAAACGGCTTCAAAACGGGTTAAAAAGGGTAATGTGAAATTCCTCTATGTTATTACAAAGGCCAAAGGTGTGTTTTGGACTTCTGTCCAAAGCCTGCCTTGCATCACTGAGGGACCCTGACCTTTGATGACTCGTCTGAAAAATGAGGACAAGAGAGAAGTATACAACGGTGATGTTGGGAAGCCAAACTAAGCCCGGCCACAGCTGGAGACAGCAGCACTGTTCTGTTTTTCCTACTGCAAAATAAAAGGGAGGGGGAGCTTGTGCATGTGTGTTTGTGTGTGTGAGTTCTCTCTGTGTGTGTGTGTGTGTGTGTGTGAGAGAGAGAGAGATCTAAGAATAAGAAGGAGCGGAAACCAAAGCTGCCATTACCCAACGATACCCGACAAGCCACCTCTGGCAAGCCTGGGCTCCAATTCTGCCTCCCTCTGTGGTGCCAGACAAGCCATCTTCCCTTAGTTCCCTCATCTGGAAAAGTAGGGATAAGAATGATCCACCTCACTGGGCCACTGACGAGAACTGGAGCGCTGCTTTGGCCTTACGGTGACTGTGTCAACCAATGGTCAAACGTTCAGACCAAGATAGAGGATAGGATTCTTTCAGTTGAATAGTCCCACTGTGAAAGGCAGCAGTTGTGGTCGAGTGTCACCTGCACAATGCTGAGGAAGACCAGTGGACAAAAGGAGTTTAGAAAGTGGGTGAGGGTGTCTCCGTGCCAGAACAGTAACACAGAAAAGAGTCTGTTCAGAGTAGTTGACCCCATCCATCTCTATTTCCCCAACCCTTCTCAAATCCTTTAAGAAGCCAATCCATCCTTGCCTACACTAAAATATCTTCATCATGGTGATAACATTTTGTTGATCAGAGAGTCTTCAGGGCGCTAGACTATTGTGAGAAACTTCCGGTTCCATTCTCGAATAGATTCAGCATTGGGTCCTGATCCAATACTACAAGCTGCCATTGTCGGGGTGTTTGGACAACAGGGGATGGACACAAAAGGGAAATGTGTGTGAGATCTTTGGGTCCATAAGACAACATTCTACGGGAAGATCCACTTTGTCAAAATGGTTTGGAAACCATGACGGTAAAGCTCCGTTCCCTCAGTGGTACCAAAGAGAAACAGCAGATAAGGTGAGTGGAGAAAATTCAGTATCAGGATTAAAACTCTCTTGCTCTCTTGGAATATCCACGTTCTGGTTATAAATCCCCCCCAAAGGGTGAGCGTCGCTGCCCTTGGTGTATTGTTAAGAACTTGCTCTTGGGTGGAGTCTCTGGTGCTTGACAAGAGTCTGTCTCTGACGGAACCTCCTTCCGCACTCAGCGCAACGATAGGGCTTCTCTCCTGTGTGGATCCTCTGGTGGATGATGAGGTCGGCCAGCCGGATGAACCTCCTCTCACACTCGTCACAGGGGAAAGGCTTCTCTCCGGAGTGGATTTTCTGGTGCCTGGTGAGAGAGGACAGCTGGTTGAACCTTTTCCCGCACTCGGCGCAGCTATGAGGCCTCTCGCCTGAGTGGGTACGTCGGTGCCTGTGAAGGTGTGAGAGTTGGTTGAACCTCCGGCCACACTCGTCACAAGTGTGAGGCCTCTCTTCCGAGTGCGTCCTCTGGTGCCTGGTTAGAGCCGATGAGGCGATGAACCTTTTCCCGCACTCCGGGCAGCCGTAGGGCCTTTGGCCCATGTGGATCCTCTTGTGTACCGTGAGGGCCGAGAGGTGGCTGAAACACTTTTGGCAGTAGGTGCACCGATACGGCCTTTCTCCCGTATGGATCCTCTGATGGCTGATAAGATGCGCTCGCTGGCTAAAGGTTTCCCCGCACTCGGTACAGGCGTGAGGCTTCTCTCCCGTATGGATCCTCTGATGCCTCGTGAGGTGTGAGAACTGGTTGAACCTCGCCCCGCACTCGGCGCAACGGAAAGGTTTCTCTCCCGTGTGAATGTGCTGGTGCTTGGCCAAGTCCGACGGGCAGTTGAAACGCTTCCCACATTCAGTGCAAGGGTGGGGCTTCTCCCCAGTGTGGATTCGTTGGTGCCTGGTGAGGTGGGACATCTGAATGAAGCTTTTGGGGCACTGGCCGCAGTGGTAGGGTTTCTCTCCCGAGTGCGTTTTCAAATGCTTGGCCAGGCCTGAGGGGCGGGTGAACCTTTTCCCACACTGAGCGCAGGCGTGAGGCCTGTCCTTCCTGTGGATGCCACTGTGAGCCCGGAGCTCCTCCTCTCCCCTAAATCTTTTCCCACAGTCTGGACACTGGAAACACTGTCCAGCTCTTCCTAGAAACTTGGCACCTGTGGAGTGGGAAAGAGAAATTAGATATGATGGGGGGAAGTGCACAATTAAAAAAAAGTAGATGGGAGATGAGGTTGTGGTGGGCAATTTGTTTTTCCTGCACTGTAATAGAAGTGCGGAATTCTGTGGCTAGACTGCTGACTGGAGTCAGTTACCAAGATCATGTGACTCCCAATATTACAGTGTTTACACTGGGGTCTGATTCCTTCCTGAGTTCAAGTCAAAGTGTTGTTTTTGACCTTTAAAGCCATAGATGGCTTGGGACCAGGGTGTCTCAAGGACTATCTTCTCCCATATGTTTCTGCCTGGGAACTAAAATTACAGAGAGAGGCCCTCCTGAGTGTCCCATCAATGAAAGAAGCTTGTCTGGTTGGTACACAAGACGGGGCCTTTTCAGTAGCAGCCCCACAATTATGGAACAATCTCCCCAGGGAGGTGTGCCTGGCCCCTTCGTTGTTGATCTCCAGGAGGCAGTTCAAGACAGTTTTATTTAGGACCACATTTGATTAGTTTAAATTCTTTGGCAGACCACCAGTTTTAAATTATTGATTTTATGTATATGTTTTTATGTTTTTTATTGTGTTTTGTTGCTGTTTACATTGTAAGCTGACTCGAGTTCCTGTAAATTAGAAAGGCAGTTAATAAATAACTTTAATAATTAGTGTTGTGTTACAAAAAAAGCCAGACTTAGTCACATTAATAAAAACATCCATAAGATACAAAATACAATTATAATTAACACACTGCAGGGAATGACTGTATGTGTATGGGATTAAACCAAGTTTAGACTGCTGAATTGCATCTCATGCAAGAGGGGAGATTTGAACTTGCGACTTCTAATTCTCATCTCTCACTTTTAGTCACAACACCTTACCAGATCACTACACTACACCGGCTCGCTGTTGACGGATAGTCAAGTCACACATTGCAAAGTGCTCCTGTTGCCCAGATATCCACTCTGCATCTTGTCAATCAGACGCACTCTGGGAATTCCATGCTCAGAATAATTCAGTGATTTGGGTACCATGACTTGGCACAGGAAGATGATTAAGCAATCCAGTTTTCCAGATCTGTATCAGGTCAAGAAGACAGCTAGGGGAGGGCTTATGCCTTGTATGCCAGAACCCTGTCTACACATGCCTGGGATTTAAGTTCGGCACAGGGAACTCCCAAAGGATGACTGATTGGCAGGATTTGGGGAGGACATGTGGGGGACATTAGGACTTTGTAAAGTGTGAACTGGCCTGTACTTGTACTCTCACAGATGAGCGTAAAAAGCTGCTTTATGGTATGGAAGACCTGATTCATCTACCGCACTGCAGCGAGGTCCCAAAAGGAGATCTTTTTCAGACCTGCTCCTTTTAATCCTTCTACTGAGAGATGGGCTATGCCCAGGGCCGGCTCACTCACTAGGCGAACTAGGCGATTGCCTAGAGCGGGATGGCCCTTAGGGGCACCAAACTGCACCCGGCCCTGTACTCTGGGAGTTTCTTGATTATTTGTGTTTTTATTCTTCCTAAAATGCATTTATTTTTTAAAATTGGTGGGCGCACGGGGGGGGGCATAAGGGATCCTCGCGTAGGGTGCAAAATAAGCTGAAGCCAGCCCTGGCTATGCCTGGGACCTTCTGCATATCAACCACATGCTCTATGAATGAACATATGTGCCCCAAAAGCCTCCTGTCTGCTATCATGAGCCGGCATGCCAGAAACCCCCAGTACTGCAAAAACTTTGATACCAAATGAAGAATAAACCAAGCTATTTTACAACCTGTACATTGTTGGAGGAGTAGCGTAACCCTTTAGAATGTTGACTGATAAACCAGAGTCTGCATGTTCTAATCCCAAAGAGTGTTGAGTTCTTTTTGGAAGGAGCTACCGTAAGTGGTAGAGCATCTGCCTGGCACGCAGAAGGTTCCAGGTTCAATCCCTGGCATCTCCAACTACAAGTATCACAGCTGGTAAAGCCAGGAAGGATATCTGCCTGAGATTTTTGAGAGCTGCTGTCAATCAGAATAAACAATATAGGGTTAAATCTGTTGAAGGCAACTTTGTAAGTCAGGAGTTGAATCATTCGGAGCAAGTGAGCTAAATTGCTCCGGAGCACTAGGATATCAGTTGGATCCAGCCACTTTTTTGACTCAATGCCACCCAATTCTTCTCCTTAGTACAACCCTCATCCTACGTGGATTTTGTCAGGTCTCATGATCCACAGCACAGCCTTTTTGGGTGGTCAGAGGATTCTCTTCCGTCCCTTTTTCAGCAGCAGAAAAGTGGTTGGATCCAACCCTATACGTTTTAGACAGCAGTTTCTGATTCTCCATGCCATTCCCTTCACACATTTTTCTTCTGTCAGAAATCGTTACTACAAACTCAAAGCAGCAGAGGACCACCCAAAATGTGTGTGAGAGAACACTTCATTTAGTGTTTTCAGCCAGAGAGAAAGCCAGATTCACAGGATAAGAGTGAGAGGAGAGGCTGAGAGAGAGAGAGAGAGTGAGAGAGAGAGAGTGAAGGGGCTGGCACAAGGCGAATCCCCGTCCTTACCCAGTGAGCTGGCATTCCCGTTGTCTTGCTGCCTGACTTCTTTGTGGTTTTGCCTCGGCCTGGCATTTGCTGGAGGACGTGACGTCTCAGAGCAGTTTGTGGTCCCCCCTTGAAGCGATGCCGTGACCTGAAACAGGTGCAGCAATTCCGGTGAGACTGAGGAGGGGGAATTTTAGGGCTGTTTTGTTTTGCCTCATCTTGCCATTTACTGAGGAAGTAAAATAATCTCCCTCAACTGAAGCCTACAAATGTCTGCTGCTTCTTACTCCAGAGCAGGCAAAAGCATTACACTCTTGCTTTGTTCCGACCATTACTCAAGTCATCCGTGGCAAGACGTAATCCACCTTGAGTCCCCGTGAGTAAAATAAAGGACATTCTGTACTGCAGGCTGGATCCTGCCTGCTTTTCGCACAACCTTCCCAGTTCCTTTCCATACAATAGACCTGTCTTCCATGGATTTTGTCCACACAGGTCTCATGATTCTCAGCATAGCCTTTTCAGTCGTCAAAGGCAATGCCTCCGTACTTTTCCACTAGCAGAAAATCTAGCTGGATCCAACTTAGTGCCTGATCCTCTGTAGGCCCCAGCCCTGACAAGTCAGTCTTACCTGGGCTCTCTTGCTTTGGCTTTCTCATTACAGGTTGGGGCAAATGGATGTAACCTTGAGAATTCTTCACAAGAAGCTGCTTTATACTGAGCCTGACCATTGGTCTGTCAAGGTCTACTCTAGGGCTGCCAACCTCCAGGTGGTAGAAGCCAAAAATGAGAGATCACGGGAGGAAGTGGAAATCCAAAAACAACATCCGTGACAGAAATAACGAAGAGTTATTAGAGAGTCGACATGGAATGTTTCCTTCAAGAGTTGATAAGTAGTAATTGATAAGAATTGTGATTGCTACACACTCAGATAAAGCAGATATTGTGAAACGAATTGTTTACATTGTGCAGCGTTCGTTAAAGTGTGAGCGATAATAGAAGAGAATATTCTATAGCATTACTAGAGTAAATGATTTTGCAACAGATCTTTATTGACTCTCCGTTGTTTTTGGATTTCAACCTCCAGATGGTGGTTGGCGATCTCCCACTATTACAACCAGTCTCCAGGCAACAGAGATCAGTTCCCCTGGAGAAAATGGCCACTTTGGAAGGTGGACTCCGTAGCATCATACCCCATCGAAGTCCCTCCCCTCCTCAAAGCTCCCCCTCCTCAGGCTCCACCCTCCAAATCTCCAGGTATTTCCCAAACTGGAGCTGGCCACCCTAGTCTACTCTGATTAGCAGAGGCTTCCCAGGGTCTCGGGCCAAGGTCTTCCACAGGACCTGATCCTTTGAGCTGGAGACACCAGGGATTGAACCTGGCATCTTCTCTGTGCAAAGCAAATGCTCTACCACTGTGTCAAGGCCGCTCCTGTGACCATTTGCTCGGGAACTGTGGATTCACCTCCTTGAGAAACCATGTGGCTAAGCATCTGCAGATGTCTTCTCTGTTGCTTCCAGACTGCTCCACAGCAATGTGGACGTAGCAGTCCTCTGAGACACCCCACAGTGAGAAAGGCTGCACCACCCCTCACAAATATGTTTGGAGACCAGTCTAGAGTTGCCAGCTTTGGGTGGGAAAATACTTGGAAATGTGGGGAGTGGAGGTTGTTTGGAAGTTGTTTGGAAGCAGCAGCAGCAGCACTGCATGACGTGAAATAAGGGGACAAAAGAAGAAGCAAGTTTGTGGACTGTAACTGCAATAGAATCATTTTTTTCCCCACAGTGAACTTTGGTGGGGTGCACCTTTGGTTAATGACTGTGGTCCAATTGAGGCTTGAACCACCTGGATGCTGGCAACCCCAGATCAGTCCTAGAATTTGTCTTCAGAATCAAGCCTTGGACTTATAAGGATGTGCTTGCCTCTGAGTATGTGCATGTACTCTCTGCTGAATAACCACAGCTAGCTGTCCGTCTAGGACTAGGACAAGAACTATCAGAGGAATGACTTTTGGATCTGTGGGAATCCCCCCCCCCCCCACTTGGGCCCCTCCAAGAGCACCAAGAAAAAACGCCTTT